AGCACATGCCTTTAATCCCGAGCTCTCTGGAGTCAGAGACAGGTTAATCTCTGTTGAGTTCAAGGCTAGCCTGGTCTACATGCTAAGTTTCAGGTTAGTCAAAGCTATACAGTGAGACCATGTTCTTCCAAAAACAAGTTGACAGGAAAACCTACCAAAACATTAGGCATGTATTGGGAGGAGGTTAAAAACAGATGGAATTGCCGGGCGATGGTGGTGCATGCCTTTAATCCCAGCACTCGGGAGGCAGAGGCAGGCGGATCTCTGTGAGTTTGAGACCAGCCTGGTCTACAGAGCTAGTTCCAGGACAGGCTCCAAAGCCACAGAGAAACCCTGTCTCGAAAAACAAAACAAAAACAGATGGAATTATTTTCAGTGATTTATAAACAGTCATATCAGTGCTGGTGGTGGTGGTAGTGCTGGTGGTTTTGGTGGTGGTGGTAGTGGTGGTGCTGGCGATGGTGGTGCTGGTGGGTAGTGGCAAGGAAGGTGGTGGTGGCTAAGGGCGGTGGGGAAGAGCTACCGAGAGCCCATGGAGCCCTAAGCACTTTCACAAGAGAACTGTATAAAGTGTAATGTCTAAGAAGAGGCCCATCTGACAAATGAAGGTTCAGAGCTCTTACGGCTTGTGAAAACTGGAGTGGAGATTTGGACCTCAAATCCCTGGTTCTAAGCATGTTCCTCCAATGAAAGCTAAGGGTGGGTAAGATAGCTCAACAGGTAAAGGCTCCTGGGTAACGTGTAAGCCTCAGGGTGGAACAAGAGAACCACACATTCCTACACACACACACACACACACACACACACACACACACACACACACACACACAGTTTAAACTATGAGCTGAGCTGCCCGCCCAGAGATGCGACTGGGACTTGGCTAGCCAGGTGTAACTGTGCCCACCTCCACCTCCTGCCCTACAGATGGAGGACGAGGATTCCATTCTGCCCCGGAAGCTTCAGGTAGCCCTGGAACACATTCTGGAGCAGAGGAACGACCTGGCCTTTGACCAGGATGGAGGCCCACTGGACTGCGTACATGGTAAACGCCAGGACTTTGAAACAGCTGGGTGGATGGGTGAGAGAGAAAGTGGGGCTCCACCTTTCGTCTGGGTTCCATTCCAGCCATAATTGTAGGAATCTTTCCCACTTTGTCCATTTAGGTCCTAAAATACCTCAAGAGGGGAAAAGGCAGCTTTCGGTGCCCTTTCTCTTAGATGGTTGCGGGTGGCTGCGGAGGGAGGAAGCTGCTGCTGTTGTCAGTAACTGACTGTCTTGGGCTCTGGCCCACCAACTTACTGTTCCGGACTTTGTCCCCCATGCTCAGGCCCTGAGTCCAGCCCCTTGAATGAGGTGGTGTCTGAAGCCTTTGTCCGATTCTTCGTGGAGATTGTGGGCCACTATTCCTTGTTCCTGACGTCGGGCGAGGAGAGGAGCCTGCAGCGAGAGGCCTTCAGAAAAGCCGTCTCCTCCAAGAGCCTGCGCCGCTTCCTGGAGGTCTTCATGGAGACCCAGACTTTCCGTGGCTTCATCCAGGAGCGGGAACTACGCAGGCAGGATGCCAAAGGTCAGAACACCACAGACCCTGCTGGGGCAGTGAGGGTGCAGCTGCCTAGGCTCTAACTGGCCAAGGAGCACGGGTAAGGGTGTAGACAAGGATGTAGGCAGGGACAATATTGCGGCCTCCACAGGAGCTCTGTCATCCGGCCACACCTGAACAGTGACCCTGAGCTGTCTGCTTCTCCCACGGTTCCCCTGTCCCTCCTGCTTCTCTGCAGCCCTCTCTGCTCTTCCCAGCTGCCTTTCTTCCTGCTCCTATCTAGGGACTGTGGAGGGGTTAAAGATTCAGGAGAGTCTGTTCTGGTACCAGCAGCCTTGGGCCAGCGCTGCAGAATCTGGCATCCTGCTTCCGTGACCATCCACACCAGCCTTTCTTCTCCCTCTTCTCTGAATTCTCTCTTACTTCTCCCTGTCCCCATTTGTGCTGGCTCCAACATGCTCCTAGGGAGAAAGGGAACAAGAAGCAAAAAATGACAGACACGTGTCCCAGCCACTTGGTCCCTTGTCTCGGCCATTCTGGGAATGTAGTTAGAAATGCTGGTAAAGGGGGTTCTGATGGGAGCTAAACCTGGGAAGGGAAGGCCCTTGCCTCTGGAGCATGGCTACACAGAGCCCAGAAGGTTCTAGAAGAGCAACTGGCCCCACCCCTGGGATTTCTCTGGTGCTGTGAACTCAGCTCGGAGCCCACACTCCCATAGCTGTTTACACGGGAGAGACAGGCAGCCACGCTTGAGGCTCTGACAAGGATTTCCACAGGACAAGAGAAATTTAATTACAGGGTATGAGGGGACTGGCCTCATCCGAGGTTCTCTTCAGGAGAGCCGCCAGTTTCACTTTAGGCAGGTTTACAGGTCACTAGGTCACTAACTGGTAGGGAAAGGTAGCAGAAGGGTGGGGGGCGGCAGTGATGAACGCCTGTAATCCCAGCACTTGGGAGAGAGGCAGAGGCTGGCAGATCCCTGTGAATTCGAGGCCAGCCCGGTCTACGGAATGAGTTCCAGGACAGCCAGGGCTACACAGAGAAACCCTGTCTGGGGAGAGGGGAGGAGGTAGCAGGAACGAAATGGGACCTCATGTGTGAGCAGGCTTTTGCAGCATTCCACAGACAGCTATTACACGGCAATTACAAGGTTAGTAAAAGTCCTTATAAGCCTCAGGCCTGAAAGCATGTTTGTAGGCACAGCTGCCTCTCTGAAGCAAGGCCTCCCTTACCTGTTCTGGCGAGGAAGGGGTTTGTGAAGAAGCGCAAAGGATCTAAAATGTCCCAGTGTCTCTTGTCCCCAGGTCTGTTTGAGGTCCGAGCCCAGGAATACCTTGAAACCTTGCCCAGCGGAGAACACAGCGGAGTCAATAAGTTCCTAAAGGGTCTGGGTAAGGCCTGAATCCCCATCACCCGTCTCAATCGAAACCGTCTCTCCTGAACTCTTAGCTACTGCAGACCCCAGAGCCACGAACCCTCAGTGATACAGGAAGCTGGCACTAGACTGACTGCCTCTCTAATGTGACAACATTGTCATCATTGCCACAGTCCCCTCCTAAGCCTTTTGGGAACCCAATAGAGGAAGCAGGCCTGGGGCCAGACAGGGAATGATATAAGCGGAACTCCACCCGGCCTCCCAGAGCCCCTGAGTAGGAGAGTAAGACGCCAGCATCAGAACTACAGTTTAATTAGCAAGGAGGCCCCTCTAAGAATAGTAGTACATACCTGCGCCCCTGCATTGGGGAGGGGAAGGCAGGAAAAAGTCAGCAGTTCCATGACACAGCCAGCAAGCTGGCTCAGCAGGTGAAGGCACTGGCCACAGGAGCCTGAGGACCTGGGTTCAATTCCCAGAATCCACGTAAAGGTGGGAGGAGAGAAGTGACTCCACACAGTTCTCCTGAGTCCTCCACGTGTGCACGACAATACTTTCCTGTGCCCGACAATACTTTCCTGTGCCCTTCCCTTCCTCCCTCCCACAAGGCCTCTTGTTCCCGGCTGCTCAGCCCCGAAATAACACACAGAAACTATATTATTTACAATACTGTTTGGCCAATAGCTTAAGCATATTTCTGACTAACTCTTACATCTTAATTTAACCCATCTCCATTAATCTGTGCATCACCATGAGGTTGTGGCCTACCAGCAAAGTTTCAGCGCTTTTGTCTCCGGTGGCTCCATGGCTTCTCTCTGACTCCACCTCCTTTCTCCCAGCATTCAGCTTAGTTTTCCCTGCCTAACTAAATTCTACCTTGCTATAGGCCAAGCCAGTTTCTTTATTCATTAACCAATAAAAGCAACACAAGACAGAAGGACCTCCCACACCATTTCCCTTTTTCTGTTTAAACAAAAAGGAAGGCTTTAATTTTAACATAGTAAAATTACATATAACAAAACAGGTATCAAACAAGAATTATAGTACATCTCTGTACATCTAGAAAACTAACATGACTACAAGCTTGACTATTATAGATAACTATTAACCTATATTTCTTAATGAGCTGTACAAACACAGTACTTTAATCAAGAGCAGAAATATATATACACAATGTAAGAAAATTGACCTTGACTTTGTACCAGTAAACCAAGATCCATACCAATGCAAAGTATTCATCTCTATATCATACTTTCTTTCCTTTTTAGGCAATAAAATGAAGTTTCTCCACAAGAAATAACCTTCATCTTGGCTCAAGGGAAGACCTCCTCCACTGGGACCACACATTTCCAACAGAGGTCTGAGAGGCTGTGGGCTGAAGGCAGTCCCTAGCCCCCAGCTCCTCCTAGAATGGGGCCTGTGAGCTGGGCACATGGCAGGTGCTCAGGACAGCCCTGGAAGGGACCTGCCAACATGCCCCTGTTGTTACTGTGGTCGGTTCTGGGATCTTTATATCTAGGTATTAAAAGAGAAGAAGAAGAAAGGCGTTTGGGTCTTCATTCTGTCTTGCCAGGGCTAAGAAAACTCCCTCCTGCCCTACCTCATCTCTTCTGGTTCAGCTGTTGACAGCTGTGGAGCCAGGAGGAGGGAGGAGCTAGGTAGAGTGGCTGCCACCACCCATCCAGGTTCTTGTGGACTGGTCTATGACGCCACCTGGTGGCAGAGACTGTGAGCTTCGCTTTCTTGACTGGGGTTTTTTGCCCCTTAGAAGGAAGTCACGTAGACCTGTTCTTGCCCTAATGCCACACATGAAAAGAGGAAATCTTGTTAATTGTTAATAAAATATTCTTAGGGTCCTGAAATGGATATCTCCTGTGGCCTAACCGTGACACTTAGACCTCTGTTGTGAACCTGTTCCTCATAGCTGACAGACCTTTCGGGCTTCTGTAGTTGATATTGAGAGGGAAGAGCTGGACAAGGTTACAGTCATCTGACCTGTGTGGGACAGTGGGAGTCTGTGAGTCCTGTGTGCCCACAGGAAGGTTCTCAGGCTGGCCTTGGACTACCACCCCAATACTGTGGACACCCAATGGATTGTATGAGAAAGTAACTTCTAGCCCACCTGGCCTGGAGTGGGGCAGGAGTAGTGGGAGGGGGTGTGGCTGAGGCGTTGGGGGTAGCCTGAGTGAGAATGTGAGCATGGGGGTTCACACAAGCGCCTCGGTTTAGTTAACTTCAATGATAGCAATGCTCTGTGTATTTTTATACTGCCCCTAAGTGATCACTTTTAGTATTTTGGAATATACAGTCTTTTCTAACTTATTTTCTATTATACTGTTTTACTTAAGAACTCCAAGTGAATGAATAAACAAATATCTTTATCAACATTCCTAGTGAGTGTATAATATTCTATAATATTATGAATGTTTTTGTATTTGACTTAAGCATAAAAACAAAAATAAATTTGGGGAAATGTGCTAGACCACGTGTATGAGGAGACTTTTTTTCCAGCGTTCGTCACATTAAAGAGAAACACGCTGCCTGCGTAAAGAATCAAGAATCGGGCCAGCGAGGCGGCTCCGCAGGCGAAGGCGCTGCAGTCTGGCAGCCTGAAGTCAGACTCTACGAGCTACAGAAAGGTGGAAGGAGAGAACCCACCCCACAACGTTGTCCTTAGACCTCCACATGTGCCGTGCCACAGGTGCCCCTAACCACGCACACGTCACACGTTAGTTCCTAATTCTTTAAAGGATTGGTGAGTTGGCTTTTAACACATTCATAAAATAAGAACAGCAACATGGCCTGGCCCGTTGAAACACTTGCTACCACCAGGCCTGACCAGCTGACTTCAGTCCCCCGTCCACCCTGGTCCCACAAGGTGCCCTCTGACCTCCACATATGTCGTACCGTGTGCTCAGGCACACATGCAAACACAAATGGAGTAAAACATTTACAAAGAAATTAATGTGTATGTGACTATATTACATACATATTGAAATATACTCGTAGGAAGAACACATACAGGTCATGAGGATACAGCACGTTAGCTCTAGCCTGGTTAGTGTATCAGAACACGACTGCCTCTTCTGTCCAAATACCTTCCGTCACAATTGCGTAAGTTTTAAAAAATCAACAAACATTACCCATAGACACGCAAAGCAGCAGATTAGACCAAGAACCACAAGAGTTAGAGCAGAGAGAGAGAGAGAGAGAGAGAGAGAGAGAGAGAGAGAGAGAAGAGAAAAAGCAGTAACTTTGCAATGACTGCTCACAGTCAGGGTCCGATTCTGTGTTCCTGCTTGCTTGTTCTGGTGGGGGGGGGGTGATATTGTCATGCTGGCCTTGAGTTTGCCAAAATCCTGCCTGAACCTCCCCAGTACTAGGACCACAGGTTGCACCACCACACCTGATCACGGGACAGATTATAGTGCTGGAATACATGGTGTGGTAGATGATGGCGGTGACCCCTCTCCCGGTCTTTACATCTTTCCGTATGAGGCTCTCATCCAAAACTGTCCTATAGCTCCTATTAAAAGGCAAACATTCTGGGAGGCAGAGGCAGGCAGGTCTCTGAATTCAAGGCCAGCCTGGTCTACAGAGCGAGTGCCAGGACAGGCTACAAAGCTACACAGAGAAACCCAGTCTTGAAAAATAAACAAAAAAGAAAAAGTGTCTTTTGTGGAGCCTGGTGGTCCACAACCTTCATCCCAGCATTCAGGAAACAGAGGCAGGTGGTTCTGAGTTCCCAGGCCAATGTGATCAAAAAGCAAGTTCCTCAACAGCCAGAACCACATACAGAGACTCTGTCTCAAAATAAGTAAGGTGTCTGTGTGTCCCCCTAAATCTTTTGTTGTTGTTGTTTGTTTTGTTTTTCAAGACAGGGTTTCTCTGTGTAACAGCCTTGGCTGTCCTGGAACTCACTTTGTAGACCAGGCTGACCTCAAACTCACAGAGATCCGCCTGCCTCTACCTCCCAAGTACTGGGAGTGTGCCACCACTGCCTGGCCCCCTACATCATGTTTACTGCCTGAATCATCAAGCTTCCCTCTGCCATTTGGAACCACAGCATGTCCAGCCAGACATGGGGCTCGTGATTAAGATAACAGCATTGGAAGGTAGAGGCAGGAGGATTGCCATGCTACAAAATGAGACCCTGTTTAAAAGGGGGGGTGGGGAAGCTATGGGGAAAAAAGCCTAGTTAGTAAAATAGTACAGTTCTTGCTGTGCAAGCATGAGGACCTGAGTTCAATCCCCAGAAACCATGTTTCAAAAGTCCAGGCCTTGCCGGGTGGTGGTGGTGGACACCTTTAATCCCAGAGGCAGAGGCAGGCAGATCTCTGTGAGTTCGAGGCCAACCTGGTTTACAAAGCGAGTTCTAGGGTGGCCAGGACTGTTACACAGAGAAGTCCTGTCTAAGAAAACCATAAACGAATAAACAAACAGATAAATAAATAAATGTAAATCCAGACCTTGTGACATTTGTGTATTTGTAATCCTGGCACTAGGGAAGTGGGAACAGGCAGGTTCCTCTGCCTCAAGTGGCCATCCAACCTAATAGGTGAGTCCCAAAACAACAAGACAAACAAAAAAAAAAATGTGTGTGGGTAATCTCTCTGTACACTGCTTACTGATGTGTCCCTGTTTACCTCACCTGCCCAAGGCACCTTCTGATTGGTTAATAAGGAGCTGACTGGATGGGGGGACTTCCGGGCAGAGATAAGAACTCTGGATAGGAATCTGACGTACGAGGTTTGCCAGACAGACAGACGAAGTTGAGCATGTGGTTCTGAGGAGAGGTAATGAGTCACATGACAGAATGTATATTAATATAAACGGGTTAATTTAAGGTTTAAGAGCTAATTGAGAACAAGCCTAAGCTAAGGCCAAACTTTCATACTTAATAAGAATTCTCAGGGCTGGAGAGATGGCTCAACGGTTAAGAGCTGCTCTTCCAGAGGTCCTGAGTTCAATCCCCAGCACCCACATGGTGGCTCACAACTGTCTGTAACCCCAGTTCCAGGGTATCTGACCCTCACACCAGTGAATATAAAATAATAATAATAATTAATAATAAATTTTTAAAAAAAGTCTCCCTGTCATGATTCAGGAGCTGATGGTCCAAAGAAAGAGCCACTACATGGGGGCTATGGAGCAACAGTGGGTCAGCAGTTAAGAACTCTGGCTGCTCTTCCAAAGGACCACATGGCAGCTCACAACTGGCTATAATTCCAGCTCTAGGAGATTCAATGTCCATTTCTGGCCTCTATTGTTACTTACACTCACATCATGTATACATAAACACGGACATGAATAAGTGATAGAATAAAACAAAAAATAAGGTGGAGCTCAGTTAGATCTTAATGCGCTAGCTCAAGGAGGAAGGTGCCAGTACCAGGCCCGCATCTAGAAAGAGAAAACCGACTCCTACAAATTGTCCTCTGACTTCCACAAACAGACCATAGCACACGTGTGTATACACACAGACACACGCACACACACTTCAAACAAATAAAGGCAACTACCCACACAATGCATACACTTAAAATGGGGAAAAAAATCAAAACAGACAGATGCTGAAGAGATGGATCAGTAGTTAAGAGCAGTCGCTGCTCTTGCAGAGGACCAGAGTTCAGCTCCTGCTACCCAAGCAGGAAGCTCACAATTAATTGCCTATAACTCCAGCTCCGGTGTAGGGGGCTGATAATGCCCTCTTCTAGGGCACTTGCATGCATACACTCACAATTTTTTGAATGTTTGACAAAAAGAGAAAATATAAACAACCATAAAAACCAGTAAGTGAATGGCATTCTTTTTCAAAGGGAGAGGCTTTCTCCCTTTGGTTTCTGGAGACAGTTTTTTCCTTCATCCCAGGTACCCAGATACCTGCAGCATGCTAAGCAAGCCCTGTACCACAGATGCTACAAAGAAGACCCCATAAAGAATTCTAGGGTCTTGGTGAGGGTGAAGTCAGAGCAAAGGGGCTGCAGAGACTGAGGGACATGGTATATTCTCAGGCTCTCATGTCTTTGTTTTCCCAATCCCAGGCCAATACACAATAAGCCTGCACACTCCTGCAGTCTTGATATTATTCTTCATTCCTATTTCCTTATTTGATTTCAATGAAAGTCACAGGACATCAAATTAGCCATTTTTTAAAAAAAGATTATTTATTATGTATACAGCATTCTGCCTGCATGTGTGCCTGAAGGCCAAAAGAGGGTGCCAGATCTCACTATAGATCGTTGTGAGATATCATCCATCATACGTGGTTCTTGCGACTTGAACTCAGGACCTCTAGGAGAGCAGTCATTGCTTTTAATCTCTGAGCCATCTCTCCAGCCCCCAAATTTTTAGAATAAATAAATAAATAAATTCAGGGGCGTCCAGTACATTCATGGTGTTCAGTTACAACCTCTCTTGCATTCCCAAATGTTTTCCTTCCTGCAAAACAGAACGCACACCCGTTTTGCAGTGGTCCCTGCCAGGTAGACTGTGGTGGGTGGGTGGGATCACTCCAAGCCTGACCAGAGGCAAGGTCAGAAAAAAGCAAAATGAGGCACCTGTCGAGGCCAATTAATTGTGCTCCCTGGCTCTCCAGTGACCACACCTTGGCGTCACCCAGGCCCTAAGTGGAGTTCAGCTGCCAACTTCTGGCTACAATTAAGTGGCCCGGTGCCAGCTTCCCTGTGGCCCTTACCTGGCCACTCTTTCTTTCTGTTTCCTAATTGAGCCCAGCAAAAATTCTGTGAGGACAGCTTTGAGTTTTACGAGCAAACCTCGCAGCCTGTGGTCCCTTCCTGGCAGGGGTAGTTCCCTCACCCCCTGGGGAGTCTGGACTAGCAGGCTCTTCTGGAGGAGAACTCAGATTGGCAGGTTCACCCAGATCCAGCACTGAGCAAGGGACTGTGGAACAGTCCCGTGCTCACAACACCAGCGAAAAGAGCAGCAGAGCGTTAGGGATTGGCCACCATGTAGCCAGGATGGCCCCTGCCCACCCAGTTTCCTTTGGAGCCGTGGGGTCAGGAGCTCTGGATTGAGGCTGCTCTCAAAGCTGCCTCCCTGCCTCATCAGCAGGACCAGAGATAGCAGAGTGGTCCTGCGTGCAAGGTGGCAGCAGCATCTATTACCAGGACTCATGGTGAAGCTGGTGATGCTGAAAATTGGGTACCAAATTCAAGAGGTTAGGAAAAATTAGGCAGATTTGTTATTGTTTGATTTCCCGTGAGTTATTTGTTTGGTTTTGTTTTGAATCAGGCCCTCACTATGTATCCCTAACCAGCCTGGAGCTCACTGTCCATCAGGCTGGTCTCAATGTCATAGAATCGCCCTGCCTCTGCCTCCTGAGTGCTGGGATTGAAGGTATGTGTCATGCCCACCCGAAAACAGCTTTGCAGAGAGGGTTACCAGTGTAAAGAAAATGCAAAAATGACTGGAATAATGATTTGACAGAAGACATTTTCATACGGCCTCAGATGGAGAGAA